TTTGGAGCCCTTATTGTCAAGATGATGTGGGGAGATATCAAGATGATGTGGGGAGATATCAAGATGATGTGGGGAGATGTCAAGATGGTGTGGGGAGATGCGCCGTAGAGCTGTAGTATCCTCACTGCCTTCTAGGCTACCTTACGCACATAGCTCTGACTCTTCATTGACATAGAAGAGTCAGATTTCATACTAAATATGCCAGTTTCCTATCAGATTAACTCCAGGTTTTTGCCACCCATTTGGAAGCCTGTCTGACTCGCCATATGCAGTCTAGTTATCATCATTGCCTGAGCTTTCTCTGGCGCAAGTGGGACCTGCCGTCTCCTATCCCAGGTAGAAATCACTGAAAGTTTGTGATTAATGAGTCTTGTAGCAGTTGGTATTTTTTCCTTAATGTTTGTGAAGGTTAGAGTACAGTCATCAGCATAGGCTTGAGCTTCAGGAATGAGATGAAGAAGGTCGTTGAAATAAACATTCCACAGCAGAGGGCCAAGCACACTACCCTGTGGAACGCTGCCACCAATTGAGTGACTTTCGGATTCTGCTCCATTGAGGACAACTCTTAAGAGTCCGTTCTTGAAGGTAGTCTTTTATTAACTCTAAGATGACAAAGAGTGCTGGGAAGACGGGACACCACGAGCGTAGCTCTCATCCTGTAACTACACTTAGGTAATTACACTTAATTACACAAGGGAGCCGGTCGGCCGAGCGGACAGCACGCTGGATTTGTGATCCTGTGGTCCTGGGTTCGATCCCAGGCGCCGGCGAGAAACAATGGGCAGAGTTTCTTTCACCCTATGCCCCTGTTACCTAGCAGTAAAATAGGTACCTGGGTGTTAGTCAGCTGTCACGGGCTGCTTCCTGGGGGTGGAGGCCTGGTCGAGGACCGGGCCGCGGGGACACTAAATCCCGAAATCAACTGAAGATAACCTGAAGGTAATTACACACACACACACACACAAACACACACACACACACACACACACACACACACACACAAACACACAAACACACACACACACACACACACACACACACACACACACACACACACACACACACACACACACACACACACACACACACACAGGAGTTGATATCACACCAAACCTGTCTCCTGAAGCCCACATAAAGAGAATAACGTCTGCGGCATATGCGAGGCTGGCTAACATCAGAACGGCGTTCAGGAACCTGTGTAAGGAATCATTCAGAATCTTGTACACCACATATGTAAGACCAATCCTGGAGTATGCGGCCCCAGCATGGAGCCCGTACCTTGTCAAGCACAAGACGAAGCTGGAAAAAGTCCAAAGGTATGCTACTAGACTAGTCCCAGAACTAAGAGGCATGAGTTATGAGGAAAGGCTGCGGGAAATGCACCTCACGACACTGGAAGACAGAAGAGTAAGGGGGGACATGATCACAACCTACAAAATCCTCAGGGGAATCGACCGGGTAAACAAGGATGAACTTTTCAACACTGGTGGGACGCGAACAAGGGGACACAGGTGGAAGCTGAGTACCCAAATGAGCCACAGAGACGTTAGAAAGAACTTTTTCAGTGTCAGAGTAGTTAGCAAATGGAATGCATTAGGAAGTGATGTGGTGGAGGCTGACTCCATTCACAGTTTCAAATGTAGATATGATAGAGCCCAATAGGCTCAGGAATCTGTACACCAGTTGATTGACGATTGAGAGGCGGGACCAAAGAGCCAGAGCTCAACCCCCGCAAGCACAATTAGGTGAGTACAATTAGGTGAGTACACACACACACAGTTCAGGATAGTCCCCAGAACTAAGAGGCTTTAGATACGAAGAAAGGCTGCGAGAAATGCACCTCACGGCTCGCACCTGCACCTAGAAGACAGAAGAGTAAGGGGAGACATGATCACTACCTACAAAATTCTCTGATGAATTGACAGGGTAGGTAAAGATAAACTGTTTAACACAGGTGGGACGCGAACAAGGGGACACAGGTGGAAACTGAGTACCCACATGAGCCACAGGGACGTTAGAAAGAACTTTTTCAGTGTCAGAGTAGTTAACAGGTGGAATGCATTAGGCAGTGATGTGGTGGAGGCTGACTCCATACACAGTTTCAAATGTAGATATGATAGAGCCCAGTAGGCTCAGGAATCTGCACATCAGTTGAGTGACAGTTGAGAGGCGGGACTAAAGAGCCAGAGCTAAACCCCCACAAGCACCACTAGGTGAGTACATGCACACAGAGAGACACAAGGAAGTTGAACATAAGGAAAACTAAAGTACAAGGCAATAGGTACACAACAAAGGTTGGCGGGGAATAGGGAGCTGAACGTCCTGGTTGATGGGGTTCTGGGAGTTGTTCTACTCCCCAAGCCCGGCCCGAGGCCAGGCTTGACTTGTGAGAGTTTGGTCCACCAGGCTGTTGGTTGATACCTGGTTGATGGGGTTCTGGGAGTTCTTCTACTCCCCAAGCCCGGCCCGAGGCCAGGCTTGACTTGTGAGAGTTTGGTCCACCAGGCTGTTGGTTGATACCTGGTTGATGGGGTTCTGGGAGTTGTTCTACTCCCCAAGCCCGGCCCGAGGCCAGGCTTGACTTGTGAGAGTTTGGTCCACCAGGCTGTTGGTTGATACCTGGTTGATGGGGTTCTGGGAGTTCTTCTACTCCCCAAGCCCGGCCCGAGGCCAGGCTTGACTTGTGAGAGTTTGGTCCACCAGGCTGTTGGTTGATACCTGGTTGATGGGGTTCTGGGAGTTGTTCTACTCCCCAAACCCGGCCCGAGGCCAGGCTTGACTTGTGAGAGTTTGGTCCACCAGGCTGTTGGTTGATACCTGGTTGATGGGGTTCTGGGAGTTGTTCTACTCCCCAAGCCCGGCCCGAGGCCAGGCTTGGCTTGTGAGAGTTTGGTCCACCAGGCTGTTGGTTGGAGCGGCCCGCAGGCCCACATACCCACCACAGCCCGGTTGGTCCGGCATTTCTTGAAGAAAATTATCTAGTTTCCTCTTGAAAATGTCCACGGTTGTTCCGGCAATATTTCTTATAGTCGCTGGGAGGACGTTGAACAACCGCGGACCTCTGATGTTTATACAGTGTTCTCTGATTGTGCCTATGGCACCTCTGCTCTTCACTGGTTCTATTCTGCATTTTCTTCCATATCGTTCACTCCAGTATGATGTTATTTTACTGTGTAGATTTGGGACCTGTCCCTCCAGTATTTTCCACGTGTATATTATTTGGTATCTCTCTCGTCTCCTTTCTAGTGAGTACATTTGGAGAGCTTTGAGACGATCCCAATAACTTAGGTGCTTTATCGCGTCTATGCGTGCCGTATATGTTCTCTGTATTCCCTCTATTTCAGCAATCTCTCCTGCTCTGAAGGGGGAAGTGAGTACTGAGCAGTACTCAAGACGGGACATCACAAGCGACTTGAAGAGTACAACCATTGTGATGGGATCCCTGGATTTGAAAGTTCTCGTAATCCATCCGATCATTTTTCTGGCTGTCGCAATATTTGCTTGGTTATGCTCCCTAAACGTTAGGTCGTCGGACATCATTTTTCCCAAATCCTTTTCATGCTGTTTTCCTACTATAGGCTGATTTGATTGTCTTTTGTACCCTGTATTATGTTTAAGGTCCTCATTTTTACCGTACCTGAGTACCCGAAATTTATCACTGTTAAACATCACGTTGTTTTCTGCTGCCCAGTCGAAAATTTTATTAATATCTGCTTGTAGGTTTCAATGTCTTGAACAGAGGTAATTTTCATGTTGATTTTTGTGTCATATACGAAAGATGATACGAAGCTGTGACTTGTATTAGAGTGTATATCTGATATGAGAATAAGGAAAAGCAGTGGTGCAAGGACTGTACCTTGAGATACAGAGCTTTTAACTGCACTTGGACTCGATTTTACATGGTTGACTGTTACTCTTTGTGTTCTGTTCGACAGAAAACTGAGTATCCAGCTTCCTACTTGACCGCATTTTGTGTGCTATCACCCCATGGTCACATTTATCGAATGCCTTTGCAAAGTCCTTGTATACCACATCTGCATTCTGTTCTTCCAATGCCTCAGTGATTTTGTCGTAATGGTCAAGTAGCTGTGAGAGGCATGATCTTCCCGCTCGAAATCCATGTTGGCCTGGATTGTGGAGGTCATTGGTCTCCATAAAATTAGTGACCTGACTCCTGATCACTCTCTCAAATACTTTTATTATGTGGGACGTTAGTGCAACTGGTCTATAATTCTTTGCCAATGCTTTCCTCCCTCCCTTGTGTAGAGGGAGGGAGTGCTGTAGTCAGAACTCTGCTCTATTCAGTCGCTCTCTCATTATCTCTTCTCTCATTATCTATCTCATTATCTCTTTCTCTCATTATAGACGATAATTGGCTAGAGATAGTCAATTATTTGTGACCATTTAATTATTGTAATTGTTATTTCTGTGAGCCTTGATGACCCTGTGTAATCTATTTACGATGGATTTATTGCTTCTGTTACAGATGGATTTATTGCTTCTGTTACAGATGGATTTATTGCTTCTGTTACAGATGGATTTATTGCTTCTGTTACAGGTGGATTTATTGCTTCTGTTACAGGTGGATTTATTGCTTCTGTTACAGGTGGATTTATTGCTTCTGTTACAGGTGGATTTATTGCTTCTGTTACAGGTGGATTTATTGCTTCTGTTACAGATGGATTTATTGCTTCTGTTACAGGTGGATTTATTGCTTCTGTTACAGGTGGATTTATTGCTTCTGTTACAGGTGGATTTATTGCTTCTGTTACAGGTGGATTTATTGCTTCTGTTACAGGTGGATTTATTGTTTGTGTTAAGATGACTGACCGCTGGTGATAACCTCGTGTAAGTCTTCGTGACTAACTACCTGCCGCTCGTAATGGCCCTGTCTTAAGTCACATGTCTTAAGACCACCATCTTAAGATCCAAGATGTGACCAGCTACGACATAGTCCAGTTCATTGTTATCTTTTGAACAGCGGTTATAACCCTTTAAGATCACTTGTAGCCTGTGTTGCCCTCGTATGACCCGGACCGAAGACTCCTCGTGCCCTGTATTGACCTTATATGACGGGTAGGAGGCCCACGGTGACCCCCCGTGACCTGTAACAAGCTCGTGTCACTAACTGTGGTTTGTCTCCAGCAGATCTGAGTGCTGGGCACCGCAGGAGGCCACTGGTCGCCACCCACCACGAGGTCAGTCCTCTCAACCTTTCTTATACCCGTATATGACCCTTCTTCAGCCCCTTGTGCAGGCTCCTCCAACCTTTCTTATACCCGTATATGTGACCCTTCATCAGCCCCTTGTACAGGCTCCTTCAACCTTTCTTATACCCGTATATGACCCTTCTTCAGCCCCTTGTGCAGGCTCCTCCAACCTTTCTTATACCCGTATATGACCCTTCTTCAGCCCCTTGTGCAGGCTCCTCCAACCTTTCTTATACCCGTATATGACCCTTCTTCAGCCCCTTGTGCAGGCTCCTCCAACCTTTCTTATACCCGTATATGACCCTTCTTCAGCCCCTTGTACAGGCTCCTCCAACCTTTCTTATACCCGTATATGACCCTTCTTCAGCCCCTTGTACAGGCTCCTTCAACCTTGCAACCTTTTTTTTGTGCCTATTTGATTTTTTTCCAGGAAACTTTTTTTTTTTTTTTGCCTGCTTAGAACGGATTTTTTTTTTTTTTTTTGCTACTTGGGAATTATTTTTTTTTGCCTTCTTGGAACGTTTCTTGGGTCCTTGGAACGTTTCTTGGGTCCTTGGAACGTTTCTTGGGTCCTTGGAACGTTTCTTGCCTCCTTGGAACGTTTCTTGCCTCCTTGGAACGTTTCTTGCCTCCTTGGAACGTTTCTTGCCTCCTTGGAACGTTTCTTGCCTCCTTGGAACGTTTCTTGCCTCCTTGGAACGTTTCTTGCCTCCTTGGAACGTTTCTTGCCTCCTTGGAACGTTTCTTGCCTCCTTGGAACGTTTCTTGCCTCCTTGGAACGTTTCTTGCCTCCTTGGAACGTTTCTTGCCTCTTTGGAACGTTTCTTGGGTCCTTGGAACGTTTCTTGGGTCCTTGGAACGTTTCTTGTCTTCTTGGAACGTTTCTTGCCTTCTTGGAACGTTTCTTGCCTCCTTGGAACGTTTCTTGCCTTCTTGGAACGTTTCTTGCCTCCTTGGAACGTTTCTTGCCTCCTTGGAACGTTTCTTGCCTTCTTGGAACGTTTCTTGCCTCCTTGGAACGTTTCTTGCCTCCTTGGAACGTTTCTTGCCTCCTTGGAACGTTTCTTGCCTCCTTGGAACGTTTCTTGCCTCCTTGGAACGTTTCTTGCCTCCTTGGAACGTTTCTTGCCTCCTTGGAACGTTTCTTGGGTCCTTGGAACGTTTCTTGGGTCCTTGGAACGTTTCTTGGGTCCTTGGAACGTTTCTTGCCTCCTTGGAACGTTTCTTGCCTTCTTGGAACGTTTCTTGCCTCCTTGGAACGTTTCTTGCCTTCTTGGAACGTTTCTTGCCTCCTTGGAACGTTTCTTGCCTCCTTGGAACGTTTCTTGGGTCCTTGGAACGTTTCTTGCCTCCTTGGAACGTTTCTTGCCTCCTTGGAACGTTTCTTGCCTTCTTGGAACGTTTCTTGGGTCCTTGGAACGTTTCTTGCCTTCTTGGAACGTTTCTTGCCTTCTTGGAACGTTTCTTGCCTCCTTGGAACGTTTCTTGGGTCCTTGGAACGTTTCTTGCCTCCTTGGAACGTTTCTTGCCTCCTTGGAACGTTTCTTGCCTCCTTGGAACGTTTCTTGCCTACTTGGAACGTTTCTTGCCTCCTTGGAACGTTTCTTGCCTCCTTGGAACGTTTCTTGCCTCCTTGGAACGTTTCTTGCCTCCTTGGGACGTTTCTTGCCTTCTTGGAACGTTTCTTGGGTCCTTGGAACGTTTCTTGCCTCCTTGGAACGTTTCTTGCCTCCTTGAACGTTTCTTGCCTCCTTGGAACGTTTCTTGCCTCCTTGGAACGTTTCTTGCCTCCTTGGAACGTTTCTTGCCTCCTTGGAACGTTTCTTGCCTCCTTGGAACGTTTCTTGGGTCCTGTGAATGTTTCCTGGATCGATCGAATGTTTACTGAGGTAAGATTTCATTTCCTTTTTATACAATAGGGATTCCTGATACTGAAGACCGTTCTCCATGTTCGTCACTCCGTCAAAACTCTGGCTAAAAATCGTCGTAATTTTAAATGAAATCGCCTCACGAAAGTGACAGTACTGTCCCGTTTTCTGTTTGAGTCGTCCGGCTTACTCGGTTAGGTTAGGAGAGGAAACTTTCAATTAAAGGTTTTTATGAAGTTTTGAAACCTTAGGAGAACTTCCTGGCCCTCCTAGCCTACCAGAAGACCCTTTACTTGCTGTTTTGGAAAACTAAAATCTTAAAATTTATTTTCAATTCATTTTCATTCATTTTTTTCTCACAAGCGCTCACTAGATGTTATCTTGAAGTTATCTTGAGGGGATTTCGGGGCTTTTAGTGTCCCCTGCGGCCCGGTCCTCGACCAGGCCTTAACCCCCAGGAAGGAGCCCGTGACAGCTGACTAACTCCCAGGTACCTATTTACTGCTAGGTAACAGGGGCATCAGGGGTGAAAGAAACTCTGCCCATCGTTTCTCTCCGGTGCCCGGGATCGAACCCGGGTTCGATCAGCCACCTGCTCTCCTGTGGGGGAGGGGGGTGAGTGTCTGCTGTCACAGCAACAAAGTGTATAATCCATTATGGAAGAATACAAATACTTGTTCGTCTTGCTTAATGAGAGAATAAACAGGTGTGTGGAGAGTGTGCACACACCTCCACACACCTGTGGAGTGTGTTCACACGTCTACACCACACACCTGTGGAGTGTGTGCACGTCCTCTACACCACACACCTGTGGAGTGTGTGCACGTCCTCTACACCACACACCTGTGGAGTGTGTGCACGTCCTCTACACCACACACCTGTGGAGTGTGTGCACGTCCTCTACACCACACACCTGTGGAGTGTGTGCACGTCCTCCACACCACACACCTGTGGAGTGTGTCCACACCTCTACACCACACACCTGAGGAGTGTGTGTCCACACCACACACACCTGTGGAGTGTGTCCACACCTCCACACCACACACCTGTGGAGTGTGTCCACACCTCTACACCACACACCTGTAGAGGAGATAAACCTTTTTAACTTACCTAAGTTAAAGTAGAGTTGTATTCTTGATCTCAGCGTAACTAACCCCTCACAAACTTGGGGGCTTCAATTTATATTTATCAACCACCCTGGAAACACAAACCCTAATTGTCTCTATTTTCCGCTTGTTACAACTTGTAATAAAGTTGTTACATCTTGGCTTAACGTGTTTATGACGTATTAGAACGTTGTTACAACTTGCTATATTGGTTGTTATAACTGGTTAGGAGGTGTTAAATCTTCTTCGAACGTTGTACCAACGTCGTAGTTTCGCTGTGTGTTTGGCGGGCGCTCGCCAAAAATGACCACCAATATGAATAGACAAAATCTTGCTAAAAATTAAACTACTACGCATTAATTAATTGCTGAATAGTTAAATGGTCTGATCCACAAGGGCCGTGACGAGGATTCGAACCTGCGTCCGGGAGCATTCGGTTTCAACTCTTTTAACTCTGTCGTAGCTCAGTCGATTAAGGCAGTGTCTGGGATGCTCCCGGATGCAGGTTCGAATCCTCGTCACGGCCCTTGTGGATTTGTTCATGGTCTGATCTACTTTGAGTCATTAGTTTGATTAATTCTTATATATGAAAACATTGTGAGGTCAGCTGTAGGTGGAGTTGGAACTAGGGTCTTGGACGTGTATGGAACACGTGGAGCCTGTCTCTACCCACGTGGTTAATGATGGCTCTTTGGGCACAGTTAGTCAGCTACTCGTTGGATAATTCCAACCACCTTGACTTCCCATAGTGTGGATGTCCGCCTGCCACCTTGACGTCCCATAGTGTGGATGTCCCCCTTGCCCCCCCCCCCGTGGGGCTAGTTCATCTCCCACCTAACCACACCTATCCCCATCTAACGGAATGGCCAAACTGTTCGATTAATAAGCCCGCAACGGGCAACAGAGGTGCTTGCCGTTTGTCAAAGACGGTTAGTGGCAACCACAGGGAACTACTCACTAATGTGTGCACACTCTTGGTGCACTGATGCACTTGTATTCACCTGGTGCACTGATGCACTTGTATTCACCTGGTGCACTGATGCACTTGTATTCACCTGGTGCACTGATCCACTTGTACTCACCTGGTGCACTGATGCACTTGTACTCACCTGGTGCACTGATGCACTTGTACTCACCTGGTGCACTGATGCACTTGTACTCACCTGGTGCACTGATGCACTTGTACTCACCTGGTGCACTGATGCACTTGTACTCACCTGGTGCACTGATCCACTTGTACTCACCTGGTGCACTGATGCACTTGTACTCACCTGGTTGTGCTTGTGAGGGTTGAGCTCTGGCTCTCTGGTCCCGCCTCTCAACTGTCAATCCACTTGTGTGTCTAGTTTGGGAACTATAATGACTCCTCGTCTCCTCCTATATCTTGAGTCATATCTTGAGATGATTTCGGGGCTTTTAGTGTCCCCGCGGCCCGGTCCTCGACCAGGCCTCCACCCCCAGGAAGCAGCCCGTGACAGCTGACTAACACCCAGGTACCTATTTACTGCTAGGTAACAGGGGCATTCAGGGTGAAAGAAACTCTGCCCATTTGTTTCTGCCTCGTGCGGGAATCGAACCCGCGCCACAGAATTACGAGTCGTGCGCGCTATCCACCAGGCTACGAGGCCCCTCCTACAGGATGACATACGCTGATAAATTGAACGGTATTCCCGGAAGGAGTTGATTAAATTTGGTTTTTTTAAGTAAATTTAACCAATTTATGTTACGCAGAAAACAGTCCTCAGACTGTACGCATTAAATGTTTAGTACATACGCAATTACGCTCTGGACGTGGCAACCGAATTTCTCATAAATACATGCAAGAATAAATCCGATTTCTTCACGTTATAACTAGAAACTTAATTGCAATTTAAATTTAATAATTACACACAACGTAAATATATTTCTTGGTGTATATATTTTATAATTAAAAAGTTAATCATATAGAACTAAGGGGGGGAGGGGAATTTCCCTCTATAAATTTCTAGAAGATTGTATAACTCAGGGAATTTTCCCCACAAGTCATGCAGTGGGGATTTATTTGGGTATTTAGATCCCAGATAGATCAGGAGTGGTTATATACATACACCCCCCCATTATATACATTATATATAAGGGTAAAGGTGTATTACCTGAACTTAATGCATTACATTATTTAATTTCCCTTCACTGTCTGACATGTGGTTAGTAAATAAGTAATAACAACTTAGTTGTTCACAACATCTGTATCCCAGAGCAGATCAAATATAATCTTTTTAGTAAATATCAGTATTATATATATATCAGGAAATATCATCAAACATCAGTTTTTTCAGACACTAGTCTGTGTGTGCGTGTGTGTGTGTGTGTGTGTGTGTGTGTGTGTGTGTGTGTGTGTGTGTGTGTGTGTGTGTGTGTGTGTGTACTCACCTAATTGTGCTTGCGGGGGTTGAGCTTTGGCTCTTTGGTCCCGGGGGTGTGTGTGTGTGTGTGTGTGTGTGTGTGTTCACCTAGCTGTGCTTGCGGGGGTTGAGCTTTGCTCTTTTGGCCCGCCTCTCAACTGTCAATCAACTGTTTTACTAACTACCCTTTTTTTTCCACACCACACACACACACACACACCTCAGGAAGCAGCCCGTGACAGCTGACTAACTCCCAGGTATCTATTTACTGCTAGGTAACAGGGGCATTCAGGGTGAAAGAAACTATGCCCATTTGTTTCTGCCTGGTGCGGGAATCGAACCCGCGCCACAGAATTACGAGTCCTGCTCGCTATCCACCAGGCTACCAGGCCCAGTGTGTGTGTGTGTGTGTGTGTGTGTGTGTGTGTGTGTGTGTGTGTGTGTGTGTGTGTGTGTGTGTGTGTGTGTGTGTGCAAAGCACCTCCTCCCCTCCACGCAAACAAACATGCACTCACTCACACTCTCTATCTATCGATCTATCGCGGCGCGGAGCCGAGAATTCTGGACAAAAATTGTCCGAGGAACTCAAGAGAGGAACCATGGTGACTATTTTTGTCATGTTATGTGTTATTGAAAGTGTAGGCAGCGAGTACAGGAAATTACATTAGTGGCACCTTCGACCACCTGGGGGTGTACTAGGCCACCTGGGGGTGTACTGGACCACCTGGGGGTGTACTAGGCCACCTGGGGGGTGTACTAGGCCACCTGGGGGGTGTACTAGGCCACCTGGGGGAGTACTGGACCACCTGGGGGTGTACTGGACCACCTGGGGGAGTACTGGACCACCTGGGGGGTGTACTAGACCACCTGGGGGGTGTACTGGACCACCCGGGGGTGTACTAGGCCACCTGGGGGGGTGTACTGGACCACCTGGGGGTGTACTAGACCACCTGGGGGTGTACTAGGCCACCTGGGGGGTGTACTAGGCCACCTGGGGGGTGTACTAGGCCACCTGGGGGTGTACTAGGCCACCTGGGGGGTGTACTAGGCCACCTGGGGGGTGTACTAGGCCACCTGGGGGGTGTACTAGGCCACCTGGGAGGTGTACTAGGCCACCTGGGGGTGTACTAGGCCACCTGAAGGGTGTACTAGGCCACCTGGGGGTGTACTGGACCACCTGGGGGGTGTACTAGGCCACCTGGGGGTGTACTAGACCACCTGGGGGGGTGTACTAGGCCACCTGGGGGGTGTACTGGACCACCCGGGGGTGTACTGGACCACCCGGGGGTGTACTAGGCCACCTGGGGGTGTACTAGGCCACCTGGGGGGTGTACTAGGCCACCTGGGGGGTGTACTAGGCCACCTGAAGGGTGTACTAGGCCACCTGGGGGTGTACTGGACCACCTGGGGGGTGTACTAGGCCACCTGGGGGTGTACTAGACCACCTGGGGGGTGTACTAGGCCACCTGGGGGGTGTACTAGGCCACCTGGGGGGTGTACTAGACCACCTGGGGGTGTACTAGACCACCTGGGGGTGTACTAGGCCACCTGGGGGTGTACTAGGCCACCTGGGGGTGTACTAGGCCACCTGGGG